CATAGTGGGATAAGAGGAGTTTCGATTTAATGAGAACCAGACCTTGTCTGGGTGTGAGAATGTGTAGCAACCCCTCCAAAAACATAATCTGAAAAAGAAATGATGAAAAGAGCTAATTCAGATCCTGTTGAAATAAATGGAAGCACTCTGGTTTCAGCATAATTGAATTAGCCGTTATACCACGGATTTGTTTGTGTTTACAATTAGCAATGGTTTATTCTGTCCATAGGCCTCAAGAAAAACTATGATGGGACGAAAATATTCCCAGTTAATTCCCTTTCATTCTGGTCCTTACAATGATATTTAAATTCTTTCCTAGTTCAAGGCTTTGCCCCACCACTCACACAGACTCATAGCAGTGAGTATATATGAAAAACAAGGTAGCTGCTACCTTGAAGCTAAGAATCTTACCTTGAATCTTCCTTAGTAAACATGAAGCCTAAATCAGACTGGGTTCTGACTGTCTGCAAATTCTATAAGGTCTGGTTTTCTAGTACTGCCAAGTGGATACAGTTAATAAGAACAAATGTTAACTCCAGACGGTTAGACAGTGAATTCAATATATACGTTTGGAGTAGGATTTAAATACTCTCCAGGGATCGGATTACTGTGCCTGGAACTCTGAGGAACATCCACTCTCTTCATTGTTAAAGGTACAGTAATTTATTTTAAAGCCCTTTACTTTGAAAACCCTTTGGCTATGTCTACACTGCAGGCTTCTTGAACACGAACGGCTGTTCTTGCGCAAAAACTTGTAGAGCGTCCACACTGCAAGCCCATTTTTGTGCAAAAAAGTTTACAGTGGATCGTTAGAAGAGAGGGCTTCTTGTGCAAGAGTTTTTCCTCTCTCCACAAGGAATAAGCCTTTTTGCACAAGAGCTCTTGTGCAAAAAGGCTTATTCCTTGTGGAGAGAGGAAAAACTCTTGCACAAGAAGCCCTCTCTTCTAACGGATGGCCAACAAAGCTTTCTTGCACAAGAGAATGTCCACACTACCATGGACACTCTTGCGCAAAAGCACATGGCAGTGTAGACACGCTCTTGCGCAAGAACTTTTGTACAAGAATTCTTGCGCAAAAAGTTCTTGCATAAGAAGTCTTCAGTGTAGACATAGCCCTGTTGTAAATCTCTTGCTTCTTTTGGTATTTCTTCCTGTATCAGTCAGAGCATTCCCAAATTGTTGCTAGTGTGGAAAAGAAACAGGCCTGTTGCAGTTCTGTTTTCCCACTGGGAGTCATCACAGGGGGCTGGTTCCAAAGGCAGAGCTGAGATATTCACTGGAATGGAACAAGATCTGATTGGGGAAAGAGGGGCAGGCCTGCAGCCTTTATGAGGCACAAGTCTTATTACAAAATGAATAACTCTCCAGAACAAGCTACCCGCTGTGTGGGAGGATATAGAAAGAAGTCTGATGACCAGAAAACAGCTCTTGTCTCCATCTGAACTGGGTAGAGGTTTTTCCTTTTTGATGAATGAGATATATTCAACATATTTACTGCATAGTACTCATTATAACAAGAGGAGAAGACATGGGCAAGAAACCAGAATGCTATCCTACTCCATCTGACTCTTATACTCATGAAAAACAAAGAAAAATCTTATTTGACTTTAAATAAAAATGCAACATAGCTTGACTCCTACCTTTGGGTTTGGTTCTTGAAACTTGAGATATGACCAACAAGGTTTTATAAAATTAAATCCACCCTTGGTTTTGGCATCTTTAACTATCAGGGAGGCCAAGATTGTACTTTAAAACCTTGAGAATACACAGCATATTCTTGTTTTTGACTCCAGAAACACATTCCAAAGCATAATGGTCAGGATTTCTATGCCGTGGAGAAGGATGAGAAAAAGAAACTTTTCTTGATGATCATTCAGTATGTTTGTGACAAAGAATTCTTAGCAGTGCTTGAGTTGATCCAGTCACGTCTGATTCCATTTGGTTTTATAACCTGAGCATGGCTGAGATAGGTCAGCTTTCAGATGGGAAGGTTCCAAGAAAAAAAAAGGAGTCTGATGCTCAGAACACATGCATACATTCCACAAATTGTTGCTTATAGATGATAACCAGACTACAGTTTTTACTGCATCACAGTGCTAGAAAAACAGGTTTTTTTTTAACTCAGTTGGTAGCCGTACTTCTTTTCAGTTCAGAAGTCTGGGCTCCAGGTCTTGCTGGAATGGATTTTTTTTTTAAATAGAATCATCGCTGGTTTAAGGTTTCATTAAAAAAAAAATTGAGCACAGTAAGGCCACACTAGTGGATATGCAATCCTCAGCAGCCTATAACCAGCTTATCCTGGAGGAAGGATGACATAATCCATAAACAGGGTGTGGGTGCAATATTCTTCTTGCATTTTGGTAGGAGCTGCTCAAGTTATATATTAAAAATACCCAGTATCATCCTTTGTGGATTGTCCCTTCACACTGGAGTATTAAGATTAGGAAGACTTGTTTTATGAGCAGGCTATTCCATAAGTGACTTCTGCAGGGTCTCTTTCACTTTCCTTTGAAGTAGCTAGTAAGGTGGCCACAGCTAGACAAGAAGCTAAATGATGGTCTACAGGTCTGATCCAGTCTGGCAATTCCTATATTCTATTTCCTGCTACATTAAGAGGAAAGTAATTGTGAAAGATGTAACAAGACAATTCTGATACCTCAGAATTCTTTGATCTCTATTAGTATGAGGTCAGATCAGTGTATAGAATTGGGACTGGATTGCTATTGATGGGAGGCAATCTCCTAGTAACAAACAAAAGTGAGATGTCCATCCAGATTCCATTAACTCTCTGTGAATATATTCTGATGGCACTGATGATCAGGTATTGTTGGTTCAGATAGAACTGCAGGCTCTTAGCAAAAACTCTTAAGTGAGGCTCTGCTCTGAGAGTCACTCTAGAACTGGTAGCATGGGCTTCACCTTGGTTGTTTCACATAAAATTTGCTTAATTTACAAATAAAAAGAGATTTCTTCTAATTGTCAGCCATGCAAACGCAATATAGAATTCAGTAGAAGATCTGGATTCTCCCTTCCTTATGTAGCATTACAAGTAACAAAGATTCTTTAGACCAAATTATGCTTTCACTGATACCCCTGTGAATTTAGTGCAGTTGCACAGCTTCTGGCAGTCATCAGTTTACAGACACTTGGAGCATGGGGTTGTGTCCCTGACCATCTTGGCTAATAGCCATTGATGGACCGATCCTCCATGCGCTCATAGAATTCTTTTTTGAGTCAAGTTATATGCTTGGCCTTCACAACAACCCCAGGTAACAAGTTCAACAGGTTGACTAAGTTGTCAGTCAACCTACAAAGGCTTAGTCCGAAGGACTGTCAGATAGCTGTCACAGCACAAGAAAGAATCCATCTTGATAATCAGATCTTAGGCTGAATTTTCAGAGCTGGCAGTTAGGAAACCCACTCCCACCCAAATAATTTCATTTGAGAGATGGGCAATTTTACATAAAATACATGGAGCCAAAGATGACGTTTTTCCAGACCAAATTTCAGAACACAGCTGCATCGAGACCAGTTCCAGTCTGCTCAGGGATTTTATCTTCAAAGATAGCCTCTCAAATTATATAATGTAAGGGCAGTTAATGGCTTGTCTTCACGATAAGGTTAACTTGAGTTGTACTTTTAGCTCAAGTTGGCTGGTCTGGCAGGCACAGCTTGTCCATGAGCATTCTGCTGTGTGGAGATTAGGACCACTTGAATGCTGCTAGTCTAAGTCTTCCAGTGTTTTTCTATAATCCATACCCCTCCATGTCCAAGCAAGACAGACAAGCTGCAACACAGTTCACTGTGAAAGAAATGGTATCACATCTCCATTTATAGCATTGTAAAGACTCATACGATATACCCACAGAAGTTTTAGTGCCATAAAGGTGAGTGGAGCAACACCATGGACACAGTAGATTGAGTGTTGTTTGGCAATGTGGCTGCTCTCATCTGAGCTAGTTTTTCAGTCTAGAAGAGTAATTCAAGTGTAAATAATACAAATTCATGCTGCACTGAAGACCCATCCTGAGACTGGCTGGGAAGTGCTTGCTAAACAATCTTACATTTGAATATACCTCATCCAGCAGTAGTGGTCACCCAAAGGGCTTTTTGTATTTCGTGCTCTTTGGTGGGTCTGTAATGCAGCCTTTGCACATGAGACATTGATTTTGTTTATCATTTAATTATTTTTGCTTTGTGTTTGAATTTTAGGTTATTACAGTGCCTAGCTGGCATAGCCATAACCACTCTGAAAATTAGTTAAATATACGTAAAAGTGTTCTCAAAATATGCTTCAGTGACAAGGATGACAGTCATGTCTAAACGTGCAGGGTGCACATGGGTAAATCAAGCTCTCTCGGGGATTAGTTTCACATGTGAAGGATCTTAAGTGCCAAGGGAGTAAGGCTGAGTCAACAACTGCTTGAACTAGACACTGATGAAAGCAGTTTTTCCCATCCTCCAGCACAGTTGAGGTTAATGGCTCAGAAGAAGACACCTCATCCCTCTTGGGTTATATATAGTTAGGAAATGCTGCATGCTCTGGGCAGGTCCCAGCCAAGAATAAAATAAATGGGCCTTGCACATGCTGTTCATATGGCATCTGTCATAGGGTATGCATGTTTGTGTGCCTATGTGTAGGCACATACATGAGGGGATGTATCTGGTGTACACTGGTATGTGTGAGCATGCCTGAAAATTTCCATTTTTCTTTTCAGATATGCTATTTATGTCCTAATGTGGCTCTGTTGAAAAATACATTTACCATCCAATTTGTAAATAAGAGTTGGAACTTCTACAATAGGCAGAGAACTGAGGCTAGGCCCCAGCTCTATGGGTCCATGAGCAGCCCAGTTCCAGTTGGGTATGTGAGGTTGGAGACTCCAAAACAGTCAAGGTCAGAGAGGTTGGCTTGGGATTTCTGAATGCATATGTGACTCTCAGGAGGGAGAAGGGCTGATGTGTATTAATTCTCTGACTTTTGCTCTGTTATCCCTCCTGTTCATGTTGGCCAGGCTGGAGTTCAGATTGGCAATGCATGCTGGGAACTTTTCTGTCTGGAACATGGCATTCTGCCAGATGGCACCTTCAAGAAAGAGTCCAAAGAGCTCAACGATGATGACTCCTTTGCCACATTTTTCAGAGAGACAGGGACAGGAAAGCATGTGCCACGGGCTATTATGGTAGACTTAGAGCAAACTGTAGTGGGTCAGTATACAACGAACAATGGAAAATAGCCTATTCTTATGTGTGTCATTGCTGCGTTGGGTCCTATCTGTCTCCAACGTATCAGTGGAGCAGCTCCTTCTTTGTATTTCAGTATGACCCCATAGCTGCGATAAAACTAACCTATTTCAGACTTTTAAACCCAGTTATACTCACTTCTCTCTCATAGGGGATTAAGTCTACAGATGCAAGAAGGGGAGAATACTGACTAGATTTTCCCATAAGTGTTCTACCATGCTATCAACTAAGTCAGGAAATTACCATTGCTAAGTATGGCTAAGTGCAGGGGTGAAAATTGGGCAGGGTGAGTGGGGCGGCCGCCTCGGGCAAAGCGAGCGGGGCGGCTGCCCCGGGCCCGCGCTTCAAGAAGCCCCGTGCATGCGCCATGGCGCCACTGCACATGTGCCGTGGCAAAGGGGGGCCCCGCGAAATTGTCATCTGCCCCTGGCTAAGTGTACTACTCCTCATAGGCTTTTGTTTCAGGTGATATTTTCCTTTGCCTTTTGGATGTTGCTTTCTTTCTACGCAGGTTGGAGACAGGAGAAGCTGCTTCTGTATAGGAGTTTCCTGAAAATTTCCCATCCCTGGCCAGCTACAAGTCATTCCATAAATTGCCTAACTTTGTTAAGACAAGGAGACTGGCTTATCAGTCACTTCTACCCTCAGAATTTAGCGAGCATCATCTCTGTGATACACCTTCATTTTTGCCCAAACTCACAGATGTTTCTAACACCAAGGGCTCCCATGTCATGTGCCTGCCAACAATCAGCACAGCCAATTAACAACTATTCAGGGTGTTTTACAAAAATGTATCAAAGTTGAAGTATGTTCATTCAAGGCTTTTGCAGATTCAGACTAACACGGCTACCCCTCTGATACAGGCTTCTTATGGTTTCTCTTTCTTTGACAGATGAAGTACGTACTGGCACTTACCGGCAGCTTTTCCATCCAGAGCAGCTGATCACTGGAAAAGAGGATGCAGCTAATAACTACGCCCGTGGTCACTACACCATTGGCAAAGACAGAATTGAGTTAGCATTAGATCGTATCCGTAAACTTGTAAGTGATAGCACATCAGAAACAAAATTTTGGTTTGGTGGTGTAAGGAGGTGAACAGGTTGTCAATTGGCAGCACTTGTTTTGCTCCCAATAATGTCATTGGTTCGGATTAGAAACTGAGAGGTCCACTGGATTGTAGGTCAGTTTCCAGATGGACAAAAAATTCCAACAGAAGCCTAAAATGTAGGGTTTTGAGGCTTCAATACTTCACCTTTATCACTGTGGTAGCAACCCAGTACTGATACGTATGGAGCTCACACCATTATGAGAGGGGGCAATAAAAGGTCTTTCCCCAAGAAGACCCATGTTGAATGCTGTGTTCAGTTCTGAAGACAGATGTTCCGGCTCCAATCTGAGGATGCACTCATGGGAGTCTCAGAGATTTAGACTGATTCCTTTTGTTCTCTGTTTGGCTTTTCAGACCGATGCCTGTTCTGGGCTACAGGGATTCCTGATTTTCCACAGCTTTGGAGGGGGCACTGGCTCTGGCTTCACCTCTTTGTTGATGGAACGCCTCTCCCTGGATTACGGGAAGAAGTCCAAACTGGAGTTTGCCATCTACCCAGCCCCCCAAGTTTCCACTGCCGTGGTGGAGCCCTACAACTCCATCCTGACCACCCACACCACCCTAGAGCATTCAGACTGCGCCTTCATGGTGGACAACGAGGCCATCTATGACATCTGCCGTCGCAACTTGGACATCGAGCGCCCCACTTACACCAACCTGAACCGTCTCATCAGCCAGATAGTCTCGTCCATCACTGCCTCTCTGCGCTTCGATGGTGCCCTCAATGTGGATCTGACAGAGTTTCAGACCAACCTGGTGCCCTACCCTCGCATCCACTTCCCCCTGGTGACATACGCACCCATCATCTGCTCCGAGAGAGCCTATCACGAGCAGCTGTCAGTGGCAGAAATCACCAGTTCCTGCTTTGAACCCAACAACCAGATGGTGAAGTGTGATCCCCGTCATGGAAAATATATGGCCTGCTGCATGCTGTACCGTGGTGACGTGGTTCCCAAAGATGTCAACGTAGCTATCGCGGCCATCAAGACCAAAAGAGCTGTAAGAGCTGTCCAATTTGTGGATTGGTGTCCAACAGGCTTCAAGGTGAGAGGGACAAAGACACACTGGCCCTGTATTTTAAATGGACATAGCCAAGTATGGCAGCCCAGGTTGTGATTTCAACTCTTGAACACTATCCATTTGTGAAAAAAGGGAATGATGAGAAGAGAGAGAGAAAGAGACAGAGTGTATATAATCCTCAGTTACTCCTTTGGAGAATGAACATGTCCTCTTTACTCATGTCCTATTTACATATCCTACTTACATAGCCTCTTAAGCAGTCTCCTAGCTGGCAGTCTGGAAAATGTCAGCTCTATAAGATTTAAAGTGTTTAGTTGATGGGGAGACTCTTCTCTACATTAGCAATATATAAAAAACCCCAGATGAATAAGTTCTGGGAAATGAAACATTGGGAACATTTCTCTGTGAACATTCTTCTTTTTTTTCCAATAGCCTCCAGTTTTACATAATTTTGCACACATTCTACACTTCCCTTACTGTCTACGCAGCAGCACCGACAGGCCTGATCTCCAGAGCAACCCTGACAAAAGCAATAGATAGAATTATTAATCTATTTTTCTCATATGTATTATTGGGCTTTGAATGTGAAGACTTGTAAGTGGAAAATATTTACTGTATTAGTTTGTATGGACTAGCTATGGGCTCAGTCATCAGCAGCAAACAGTTTAAAAAAGTAAGTAAGAGTCAGGTGTTCTTTAAAAGGAAAAAAAAATGATTGTACTGAGGATTATAATATCTCTGTGCTCCCTGATTTCATGTTCAGTTTGGTGGTTCTTTCTTGTTGTCCTGGGTTATAGATGAGAAAGGAATTGTCCAAAAAGACAACATGAATGACCTTTGCTGTGATAGTCATTAAATACTGTGATTTCTGCTCTCTAGCCCCTCTCTTCATGTATGAGGCTACTCCAAGTTTTTACCATGTTTATTTGACTTTTGTTGTTTCTCTGGATCCATCTTTTCTCCCTTGCTCTTTTTCTTCCATCTTTCTTGTTTTCATTACCAGGTTGGCATCAATTATCAGCCTCCCACAATAACACCCGGAGGAGACCTAGCCCAAGTGGAACGTGCCGTCTGCATGCTAAGCAACACCACTGCCATCGCTGAGGCTTGGGCCAGGCTGGACCACAAGTTTGATCTGATGTATGCTAAGAGGGCATTTGTGCACTGGTATGTTGGTGAAGGCATGGAGGAAGGGGAGTTTGCAGAGGCCCGAGAGGACTTGGCTGCACTGGAGAAGGACTACGAGGAAGTGGGAACTAACTCATTTGGAGAAGAAAATGACAGGGAGGATTCTTAAAATACACTTTGCCCCTTGATGCACACATAATGGTCTTTGTGACTCTTTATTTCATGTATCTCCATTCCAGTTTGTTTTATACCCACAGACTGAATACTCTAAGACCTATGTTCCAAGAATGCTCTTCCTCACCCCTTATATCACAGAACAATGATCATATGAGATATGTCCACCTACTCCTAATTCCTAGGAAGACAACACACCTTAGAATAGATATTGTGCCAATGCCTCGTTGGAGAAAGTTTCTTTTTGAGCCAAGAGTCCTTATTATAATTTACCTAAGGATTCAATCATACATATCCAATGTCAGTATTTGACAAGTTTTATTTGTAATATTTGCTTTAAAATGTTATATACAGTTGTGGTAGCAAGATTTTGAAAAGCCCAAGGATTGCTATTTCAGGAACAAATGTTACTGAGCAGCAATGCTTATCCATAAGCCAAATTAGTTGAAATTAGCCTTCCTAATTTACAGTGCTATTAGATCACTCATATGATTTCCTGGTCTTTCAAACATTGAGGTAGGACTTCCTGTGGCAGCTTTCTGAAAACTATGTAAATGCCTTGGATATGCTTTTGCAAATGGCAAAAGATCTGATTTCTCCTTAAGTCCCCTTCTGTCTTTGTGCTATAAAAAGCCTTTTAGTAAGATTTATTCTCCCTTTTGGATCTCTTACCACACTAGAATATATAAAGTAGCCTTAATGTAAACAAGAACTGTGCCCACAATTTTTAAATGTTCATGTGTTTGTTATGATCAAAGTTAAAGTATTTTGTGACACTGACACTAGTCTTCATTGATGATCATTTACATGCAAAATAGTAAAAGTTATTTAACATGATGGAGTCAAACTCAGATGTCTTTTACAAAGAGAAAGCCACACTTTTCTAATCTATGCCAATTATCTGAAAAAGTTAACATAATTAAATAAAAACCCCATTTTTAAATAAGACACTGCCACATCCATCATAATCTGTTTATAGGAAAGAGAGATGTAGAGAAAAATTAATAGAGAAAGGCTTCAGGATATATTTTTAGAAATTATGCCCAAGAACGTTAAGGTTGCAAATACTCAAAAGTTAAGAAATGCCGTAAGTAAAATAGCCTGTGTTACTTTAATTTATCCTCCTTTATGCATATTCATTATGGTATAGTCTTTATTTACATAATCACATCCTATTTTTCTTTTGCTTCTTTCAGTGTACAGGATGGGCATTGCTCACTTAATTAGTAGATATTCAATATTTTGTTTTCTCCTAATTTTTCATATGATCTTATTTGCTTTACAATATGAAACCTTGTTCTGATGACAGAATTATTAATTTCTTCATGGGCTTTTCTTATACACTTATCACTGTAGTATCTGACTGTTTTACACATACTAATTAAATTATTTTAACAACTACCATGTGTGTTGAAGGGATGCATCATCCTTATTTTACAGAAAGGAAATTAAGGCACTGAGTGATTAGGCCACTAGGCCATTAGTGATTAGGATCACTAATTTTGGGCACCCAATTTGAGATGACCTGGACCTGATTTTTCAGAAGATTTATCATTGTACAGACCTTCAAATGTCTAAAGCTCAGCTCCCCCTCACTTCAGTTGTAGCGCTGAATGCTCAGCACATCCACAAATTAGACATCAGGGTATCAAGCTGGAGAGCTCTCTGAAAATGAGGAGCACACAGTTAATGTCCATCTGTGAAAAGTTTGGTTTCAGTGACTTGCTCCGAGTCGCATAGGAACTTTTGTGGCAGAGACAAGGATAGGATTCAATTCTCCAAGGAAACATTCAACTGCCTTAACCATGAGACTATCCTTTCCCTGCAGTTCCTTGTCTCATTCACTACACATCTTCCAACTCCTACATCAAATGAAGAAAGGTTCCTATAGATGATGTCTCCTTTATTACACAACCCTGATTCATCCCCAGAGCAGGTCTGTTCTACAGTGCACTGAACAAGGGAGAGGCAGGGCCGCTGACGGGGCAGGGAGGGGTGGCAAAGGGAGAAGCTGCCAGGGGGCCCAATTATTTAAAATGGCCCAGGGCTGCCAGCCACCATCACCACCCTTGCAAAGTCTGCCTTCTGCCCTGGGGAGAGGACTTCATGCCCTGGTTGGCAGGCCAAATATAGTATAATTGGAAAGCTAAATGTGGTCCCTGGGCCACCAGTTAACAACATAAGAACGGCCATACTGGGTCAGGCCAAAGGTCCATCTGCCAACAGTGGCCAATGCCAAGTGTCCCAGAGGGAGTGAACAGGTACTGATCAAGCGATCTCCTGCCATCCATCTCCACCCTCTGACAAACAGAGGCTAGAGACACCATTCCTTACCCATCCTGGCTAATAGCCATTTATGGACTTAACCTCCATGAATTTATCTAGTTCTCTTTGGGTACATCTAGCTCCGTAGTTTGAACTAGGGAGGCTAATGAGGGAGTCCAAAATTGCTAATAAAGCGTGGGATTTAAATATCCCGCGCTTGATTAGCATAATACCGGCTGGTCGCCATTTTGGAAATCGACTAGCCCGAAGTAACTGTCCACGTCTACACGCGGCAGAGAAGCGGGATTCCGAGATAAACCCTTTAGTTCGAATTAACTGTTAAACCTCATTCCACGAGGAGTAACAGTTAATGCAAACTAAGGGCTTTATCTTGGAATCCCGCTTCTCTGCCACGTGTAGATGCGGGCAGTTACTTCGGGCTAGTCGGTTTCCAAAATGGTGACTGGCCGGGATTATGCGAATCAAGCACGGGATATTTAAATCCCGCGCTTTATTGGCAATTTTGGTCACCCTCATTGGCCTCCCTAGTTCGAACTGGGGGTATGCCTACACTACAGTGTTAATTCAAGTTAACTTAATTCGAAATAGTTAATTCGAATTAAGCTAATTTGAAATAACGCATCTATACACAAAAACTATTTCAAAATAGCATTTTGCTATTTCAAAATAGCACGTCCACACTGAGTGGACCCTAAATCAGAGTTAAGGCTGGCCAGAACCAGTGCCAGCAGGGCATCAGGTTAGGACTTAGTGTGCGGGGCTGCTGCCTGAGGCTAACTGAGCTCCCTGCTTAAAGGGACCCTACCCCCACCTTGGACAGACAGTTCTCAGGGTTCCCCGCTTGCTTGTTTACCTCGATGAGAGACAGCAAAGCAGTCTTGTCTTGGAGTGCCCTGAGTGCCCGCACTTGGGACACCACAGCACTCGGCCACATGGAGCCAGAACTGCCCCAGGGCATGCCAGTGCATCTCGTGGGGTCATTGCCATCAGCCCGGCTGCACTTGCTGCAGGCTGCCATCGAGGGGGTCCATCGGGGGACTATCAGGATCCAGGAGGTCCTGCAGAAGAGTGTCCATACCGAGGAGCATCCACCCCGAGGAGCCCACCCCAGTCCTCCCCACGGGGGCCTCGTGCCCCATTCCTCCCTCACGTCCTTCCACTTACTGCTCCTTAGCCCCCCTTCCTGATGTCAAATTAAAGACACGTATGTTCAAAAATAGAAACTGGGTTTATTGAACAAAACTGGGGCGGGGGATGAACCTCTGGGGAGACTGGGAAAAGGAGGTGAGAGAGGGGAGGGGGAAACCTGGGAGGAGGGAGCTGGAAGGGGGAAGCAAAAGGAAGAAGGGGGAGCAGAAGCTCAGGGCCCAGGGTTGGGGGGTCTCGCCGGACCAACTTGATTTTCATGCAAACCTGCTCCTGGGTTCGCATGTGGCCTTTGGTGGCCAGGCTGGCAGCCATCCCCCTGTAGACGGTTGCATTCCTCCATTTAGGGCGGAGATCATGGACTTTGGAGGCATCCCCCCAAACCTAAATTAGGTCCCTGATCTCCTCTGGCAAGTTATTCCGGAAAAGCAGCTGCTTTTCCGGAATAAGTGGCCCAGTGTAGACACAGCCAAACTGTCTTTATTTAACAAAACTGGGGAGGGGGAATGAAACTCTGGGGAGACTGGGGAAAGGAGGCGGGAGAAGGGAGGGGGAAAACTGAGAGGAGGGAGCTGGAAGGGGGAAGCAAGGAGAAGAATGGGGAGAGGAAGCTCAGTGCTCAGGAGTGGGGGTCTCGTCAGGACATGTCTCCCAGCACGGCGGGTGCGGGGGCCTTGGCATCCCCAGGGAGGTGGGGAGGAGGGTGTGGAGGTTGAGGTGGGGGGTGTGGAGATTGAGGAGGAAGGTGAGGAGGTTGAGGTGGGAGGGGGCAGGAGTGGGAAGAGGAACGGTAGCTGGAGGGGCAGCAGGCACTGGGGCAGCACGCTCTGCAGCAAGGCCTGCAGGTGTGAGCACATGGTATGGTCCTGGGCATGCTGCTCCCGGTGGAGATGCAGGTCCTCCTGCACCCAGGCCTGGATGGTGCGGTGCAGGGCTCGCAGGGCCCCCAGGTGCTGGGCCCGGTACCCCTGCTGCATGCTGGTGGTCCAGAGGAGCCCTCAGGTACAGGAGCAGGTCCCAGGTGGGGTGGGGTGCCCTGCACATGCAGCTGGTGTGGCTGTGGATAAAGAAAGGGAGTGGTCAGTTCTCCCTGGGGATGCAGTGGATGATGCCCAGCGCCCCCTGTGAGGTGAGGACGACCATGCCCTGCACCGTCAGAGCTGACGTGCTTGTACAGAGGCCATGGTCGGGATGTCTGGCTCTCCTTGGGAGTGGTAGCTGCCCCAAGACCGCACCCATGCCCCTGTACCGTGTATAGTGTGGCTGAGGCGGGGGGGGGGGGGGCCCCTCTGTGTAGAGGGGGCGTGTGAAGGGAGAGCATCCTGCTGGGTCCCACCCCAGGGTCGGGAGTGTGTCAGGTCTCTTCACACACGGATGTGCCTATTGGGCCATGGCCCCTGGGTGTCACGCAGCTGGAGCCACCTGCTCAAGAGTGGCATGGCACGTGCTCGCACGTGCACAGGTGGCTGTGTGATCCGTGGGAGGCATGGCCCACACGCGCGGTTCCTGATCTCCCTCTCTGCCTTCCCCCGCACCGGGTAGGAGATAGTGCTGGCCCCTCTGCTGCACCCGGGTCAGGGCCCTCAGCCC